AAGCCGAAAGCTATAATACATAGACAGAGGACCTGGTGCAGGCTCGTGAAGCTCCACTTTCAAATAAGCGAGCTTGGTTACTTAACACCTGGTTAGGCAGCCATATGGTGTGATTTTTCAATCACAAAAGTTAATTTCAAGCAGATTCGAAATCTAAATATGTTAAACAACCTCTAAAGCTCTCAAAGTGAGCACTAGAGCATATTTTATGGATCTCAGGTCTGGAGTGCTTATTAAAATAGAAACAGTATACTAAAGGGAAAGACTGATTAGAACATACTATAACTAATTCTTCTGTTTACCAAGACACTCTGTTGTATTAGTATAGGTGTGTGGGTGCGTGGAGCATTCGTTCATAGTGTGTGCGTCCAGCGTGTGTGTGTGTGTGTGTGTGTGTGTGTGTGTGTGTGTGTGTGTGAGAGAGAGAGAGAGAGAGAGAGAGAGAGAGAGAGAGAGAGGTACATACTCATACAAAGCAGTGGGTTGGTTCTTATGATTGTGGAGTCTCAGAAATCCCTATTACTGATGTTTGTAGGCTGGCAATCAGGAGAGGTGACAGCAATGTTGTTCTAGCCCAAGTCCAGTCCGTAGTCTAAGAACCAGGAGGTACTGCAAGTTTCAAGTTCTAGACCATGCTCAAATGTCACCTGTTGAAGTCAGGCAGGGAGGGGGGAGGCGGGAGCACGTGTCTTCTTTAAATGTTAGTCTCAGAGTGAGAACCTCCCAGCCACACCCAAAATAGCATTTACTAACATCTTTGAAAGTGGTAGAAGAGATTCCGTCTGGGCTAGGGATGTGGCTTAGCAGATGGGCAGTTGCCAGTCTGTGGGACCCACATGATGAAAGAGACTCAACTTCCATGAGCTGTCTTCTGACCTCCACAGACAGACAGACAGACAGACAGACACACACACACCATGGCACATAGCTCTGTAAAGTATGCACAACTAACTAGAAAACCAGAAAAACCATTTCAAAAATTTCCCAGGAAACTACATGTTGAAAAGGTGCTCAACCTCATTAGTAGTTCCGGGAATTTAAAACTAAATCACAATGAGAGAATGAGAGAAAAAGCCAACCAGAAACTTGCCACCTGTCAGCCCCCCGACATTCGTTGGTTCTTGTTCCTTAGGATATAAGCAACAAGAATCATACAGGTGTGTGGAGCGTGACTTAGGACATCCATACAGGCAGAGGTGCCAGGCAGATTTATGTAGCTTTCAATATTAGGATGATTTTTTAAAACCAAGTCTAGCGTACTAGGCTAAGTGTGTGCTAAGATAAATGCTTGCCAAACTTGATGCGCATGTGAGCTGCGCATGTGAGCTACTCAGCGATCTTGCCGCAATGGGATTTATGGCTGATCCTGTAGGTGGAGAGTGGAGCCTGGCAGTTTGCGTTCTAACAGGCTTCCAGGTGAGGCGATGCAGCACTCCAGGCTGGACCATATGTTTTTTTTTAATTAATTTATTTATTTATTAAAGATTTCTGTCTCTTCCCCGCCACCGCCTCCCATTTCCCTCCCCCTCCCCCAATTAAGTCCCCCCCACTCAGCCCGAAAAGCAATCAGGGTTCCCTGTCCTGTGGGAAGTCCAAGGAACCCCCACCTCCATCCAGGTCTAGTAAGTTGAGCATCCAAACATATTTTGAGAAGATGTAAAGAGTCTCCGCCTCCTCTGCCCCATCTAAGCAGAGGGTAACTGCCGACAGCTGAGTGTAGCCAATGGTTTATAAACCGTCAAGGACATCTGTTTCCCGTTGGCTGGTTCTCGAGGCTTTGGAGTTCGACAAAATGAAGCTCACAGCCCTGTCAGGCGGGTTCTTTCTCCTTTGTCTGTTGTGGAATGCTTCTGGACTCGAGCCAGGTATAAATAAATACCTTTGGAAGATGTTGATTTAAAGAGAGTTATCTGAGGAACTTTTCACCCTGCCCTCACTGATCACACAACAGTGAGGGTTGGTGTTTCCAATGAAGCTTAGTGTTAACTTGAAGTTAGCATGCTGAGCCTGTGCTCAAGGCCTTTCATTTTATTGTAAACAATTTGATGGCTCTTCAGAGTCAGCTTATATGATTCACAACCTCTTTTGAAAGGTTCGTCTTTTTGTGTGTAAAGGTCTGTAGAGGCCAGAGGACAGCTTTTCCTAGTCCGTACTCCAAGTTCTGAAAGCGGGGACTCTGGTTACTCCTGTTGCTGGGTTTCTGGTAAACCTTCTGCTTCCACCCTTTCAATTTTTTTTTTAATTTTTAAAGAAAGAATGTTGTGAACGTAGTAGCATGTGGTGGCCGGGCATTCACTAGTCCAGGTACTCGTCTGAAACACACCACAGTCCTCCTGCCTCTTCTTTCTCTCCTTTTCAATAACTAGTCCCATGTTTCTATTGTAACTTGGGTTTATAGAATTCTAGAAAGCAAGAAAGGGCTTCGCTAGCCAGAGGTATGTGTCTGTATGTATGAACCCAGAACAGGAGGGTACTCGGCAGAATGGAGATTGCAGATGGGTTCTAATTGCTTCTTTCAGACCCCGAGGTTCCAGAAAGAGAAACCCAAACTCTGGCAATTAACTGGGTGAACTTCAGCTACTTACTTGAAGGCCACGTGTCTAATTTTTTCCAGGTGTCCATGAGTGGAAATTTCTTGGGATGTATTATACCTTAAAGTAAATAATGTTTGAGCTGGTAAGATGGCTCAGTGGGTGGAAGCGCTTGACGCTAAACACGACAACCTGAGTTCGGTCCATAGGGAACCCACATGGAGGGAGGAGAGAACTGACTCTTGCGGGCTGTCCTCCGACTTCCACATGGTGCAACGGGTGCCCATAAATAAAAATAAATAGATAAATAAATAAAAAATGTTATAATAAAAGAAGAAAAGACAGCCAGCGACCTGCAAACACCCGGATCTGTCTTGGTATTACTGTGCAGGAGATGAGAGAACATCTCTGGCTCGCATTAGCCTTAGCATGGTAGCCTGTTAGCTGCTTCTCATGCTGCTGGGAGGCGCTTGCCTGTGGGCTTTCTCCTGCGTCTCTACGGAATCAAAGCCCCCACCCCTCACCTTTACCTGGCACCCTGGCTTTTAGATGGGGAGGTTTTGCCATCCAGGGCAGCTTGGTAGTTTTGATTGTCTCAGCTGGGTTGTAACTGGTACACCTGTGGCTGCTCAGGGACGTTACCAACCATTCTCCCCTGTACAGCCAAGAAGGCCGTCCCCACTCCCTACGCAAGCATCTACAGCTGAGCAAGCAACCAGGCCCTAGAGCCAAGGTTCTCAAAACCCCTAATGTTGTAACCCTTTAATACAGTTCCTCATGTTGTGGTGTCCACTCCCCCAAATTATTTTTGTTGCTACATCGTAACTGTAATTTTGCTACAGTTATGAATTATAATGTAAATATCTGATATGCAGGTGGTCTTAAGCAACCCCTGTGGAAGGGTCATTACATCCCCAAAGGGGTTGTTTCCCTGAGACTGAGAACCACCGTCCTGGAGGGCTTTGCTTCTGTTTTGAAGTACTTTAACGCATTTGTCTTTGAAGTTTTCCTTTCTTTTCAAAACTCTTGTTAGAAACAACCACAGGCATTTTTCACACAGTATTGTTTCTGATATCTACAGGCAGTCATTCTTCAGGAACCTCACAGCGAGAAACCACGAGTAACCACCGAGCAGCAAGCTGTCGTTACAAACCTGATCCACCTCTATTGCTTTTTTTCATGATCGTATGTGGTACCTCTGGGAAGGGTGGAGCTGTTATCCTAGTCTGGTAGGAGACTGTCAAACCTACCTGGTGGTTTCTCGCTCTGAGGTTTTCCTGCCCTAAGGTATTTTTCCTTTTGTCATGTGAGTCTAATATTTCTACACAAGATGGGAATAGCGTTGTGTGGCTGAGGGCGCGGTTGGGAATTAAATATTTTTGAGTCAGATTAGATTAGTGCTAGAAAACCCATGAATAAAATTGGTTTAAAACTCCCTCTTTCAATGGTACTACCAATCTGTTTTATTTTATCAAATATAACTCTTTTCCTGATCTTTCACGCCGGGTAAACACAAAGGTTGCGGTCCTTCCTCCAGAAGAGACTAGTGTTATAAAAATGCCTGTCTGTGTGCGCCGATTGCTCCCATCTGTTCCTCACAGCTTTCTACCTGTTTCTGTTAGAGTTCTTGGTCATCTTGCAATTCTTGGTACCCATTACCTTAGGTTTACAAAAATAAGCATGTGAGAGAGCTCAGGGTCTTACTAATAAGTGTGAAGTGGTTACACAGGGCAGGGATGCCCAGGGGATCCTGATGTTCTCCATCCGCAGATCTGACACTGGTTAGCAAGGCCTTGAGTGACTGTCACTAAAAGAAAATAGATTACCTGTATGGATAGAAAATAATTTACTTCCTGTATTCTAGTTCCCACGTTTTCACCCTAAGATGTGGCCCTTCACTGGATAGACTGTAGTCTCCAGACTCGATAGGCTCGGTGAACTATTTAATGTTTTGAGCACCCTTTTCACCTGGGAGAGGAATAGATTACCTGCCCATGAATCTTGTACTCAGTAGCAAGACATATGTGTTGTTAACCTAGCAACTGCCGCGCTGACAGCAGAACTCTACCTAACGTGGGGAGAAAAACAAACTCGTGGTGTGATATTTTTTCCCAAGAATGATAGCTAGCCTGCTCATGAGTGATTTGGTTTCTAAAGGAAATGTGTCTATCATCAAGTTACCTAGGTCACAACTCTTGGACTGGATAAAAAGAGGAAATGGGCAACTATTAATTTGCTTGGACTGGCCATCAGGATTGTACCATAATAATGCTATTAAGAGGCAAAGGATTATTGAATAGGTTTGATTCCATTCTAAAATCTCTATTCTAAGGCTGTCAGGAATGTTCTGACTGTGTCCATCAAATTCTTCATAAAGGCAGTTCGTACTATTCAATTTTTCAGAAAAGATACATTTCCCACCAAAGCTAAATAAGGTGTACATTACTATTGTTGTTGTTGTTGTTTTAGCAGTGATTTCAGTGTGCTCTGATGACTGGCTGATCGTGAGGATAGAAAGGAGGCCCTTTGGTAACGACACAGAATTGAGGGTTGATGACATGTACCTGGGAAACAACTGCTCCGTAACCAGGGTCCTGAGCTTCAGCTATGAGTTTTCTTATCCTGCTGTTTCCTGTGGGATCAGTAAATTTGTAAGTGGTTCATGATTTTCCTTTACTGTGCCTATTTTGTGGATACATAATCTCATAATCCCTTCCTCCCCCCCCCCCCTTCATTCTGCTGGGCACTGAATTCAGGGCCCTGCCATGCTAGGCAAGTGCTCTGCCCACTGAACCATCTAGCCAGCATCAGGATTTTTTTTTTCTAATTAAAAGCTTTTGCCACAGTTATAACTCACGTGACTGTTTCCTGAAGGAGGTCTGGACTTATACATGCAATGCTAACATTTCTGGTTAGGGGGTTTGTAAAAGTCCACTGTTAAAGATTACGTCTTCTCTATTTAGCCCATGTCTTGTCAAATTGTGTATTTTAGGACACTGGAACTAGAAATATGTACATGGGGATCCATTTTGGAAACAGAAGATATATCTTTAAGTGTTCAAAGTTGAGGTCTGGAGAGATGGCTCAGGGGTTAAGAGTCTTCCAGAGTACAAGGGACTGATTCCTAACATTCACAAAGTGGCTCACAACGTCAATTTGTGACTTCAGTCCCAGGGGCTCTGGTACCTTCTTCTGACCTCCAAGGGCACTGCACAGCCATTTAGGGAAAACACCAATATATTAATATACTAGACATGTGAATATTATGTAATACACTAAAATATGTAGATAATAAAGATAAAAATGTTCTCAATCTTGTATTTTTTTCTGTTTAGTTGTTCAGATAGAGGCAAAAGAGTTTAAGGACATACACAAAAAAAGGAGAATAAAATGTTTTTTACATCTATTTTATTTCTGCAAAATTAATGTAAAATGAAAATTTCCCGTTTTTTCTAGAATTGACAGATTATATTCATGTTATTAAGCCACACAATTCCATGCCTCCTCATTTCAGGTGTTCCAGGGAAATGTCTTCATCTTGTCTGAGATCAGGTACAGACTGGTTCAGGAGCTCACCCGCAGATTCCAGGTGATTTGCTCTGTGAAGAGGTAGGTACGGGTAGACGACTACTCTGCTTGTACATTCCTAAATTTATCCATTGATGGGTCGATGTTTGAGGGCAGGCACAGCTACTAAAATGCCTTAGAGGATTCCTCTGGCACATCTACAGTTGCTAAAGTATCTAGTTGTTGGGAAAATTGCAAGTGTACAGAAGAAGAGTTGAATGAATTTTGTAGGAAACTCCCATATCTCCTAGGGTCTATCATTTAATTTTTTAAAAAAAGTTACATGTTGTGTGTGTGCATATGTGCACATGTATATAGATTTAGGTGTGTATGGGTGTACTCATACCATAACGTGTGTGGAGGACAGAGGACAACTTGAAAGAGTCACTTACCTACCGTGTTGCCTTGCTGGTCGCTGGGGTTAAGCTCAGATAGTCAGGTTTGGTGGCAACCGCTTTCTGCCCTGAGTCCTATCATGTCATTATGTATATAGTTTCCTAGCATTTAAAGTTAAAAGCATGAGTTTCTTTCCCTGAAGTGATTATGTGCATATAGTGAATTGGGAACCCAACATTTATTTGCAGAAATTTTATAATCAAATATGTAACTATTTTAATATGCAAATATCCATCAAATCAGTTCTATGTTGCACATTCTTATTCAGTTCCACAGATGTACTTGACCTTTGTGGCTGTATCACACTGTCCACTCTACTCTTGTTACCTTGTGACTTAGCCATGTCATATTCAGTCATTCAGGAGGGTTTTCCACATTGTCGCTATAACCGCAAGTTTCCTGATGGTGGAAAAAGTGAGACAGGGAAAGCTCTGTGTCCTTCAGACTTCACACCACCCTGTCCAACACGATAATCTGGGTGCCACACATAGCGTTTATCCTTACACAAAACTGAAGTTTGGTTCTTTAGTCAAACGAGCTCTCCCCTACCCCAGGTGCTCTGACAACTTGTCTGCTTGTTTACAGTGCAGATTTAGGATGTGTCCTTTGTCATAGACTGTTAGGTTTAGTGCTGCTTATGAGAATACACACATGATTCAGATGGATGGCAGTCAACAATTCATCACAAATATTTAGGGTTTTTTATGCGCCTTTGAACTTATTTTAAATGGCATTTATTCAAAGTCCTGAGTTTTTAAAAATATTTATTTTTATTTTAATTAGCATATGCATGCATGTCTCTGTGTGGGCATTCATATCATGAATGCAGATGCTTGTGGGGCCAGAAGTGTTGGATTCCTTAGAGCTGAAGTTACAGATTGTTGTAAGCCACATAATATGGGTGCTGGGAATTAAACTTGGTCCCTTTGCAAGAGCAGTGTATGCCTTTAACCGCTGAGTGATTTCCCTATCCCTCAGTCCTGTATTCTTTTGATGATAGCTGAATTTGAGTTGAATTATTATAATACTAGAGATGAAGACAAATATCAGATGATTTGATGGACAAGTGATTACAAGAAGCACAGTGGACCGTTTCTAATGCTCCAGCTACAGTGGTGAGCGCCTTCTTTATCCATCGCATTTGATATTAATTCCGTAAAGAGTGCACTGCAAGCTTCTCTCTCATTGAAGGCCCTGGAGTTGCAGGCATTGCACAGCCCTAGCAATAGAAAGCCTTACGACATATTAAAGCCAGGATCTGACTATTCCACGTGTGTCAGATCATTCCAGGGCTTCTGCAACTCATTGACAAAGCTGTCCTTTGTGGTCTTCTGTAAATGAAGTAGGAAACTAGCCCCAGAGCTGAGGCTAAGGCACTTTGGCTTCCTGGGGAACTGGTGTGCTTTCCTGGTCAAAAAAAGAGTTCAAAGTAGTATGACCTCCACAAACTCCCCAGAGCAGAGTCAGCAATGTGCCGGCTTCCTTCATCCTGAGAGCTGTTTTCCCAGCCTCCTCTCTACCCCAGTGGCTGCAGTAGTAACTGCTGTATTTTTTTTTTAAGAATCTTATGTTTATCTCTCATGTGAATAACCCAGGGTTTGCTCCTGTTTCCAAACATCAGTTACAGAGCAGTTACAGGCAATGGGATCTATGAAAAAGCTGCCTTCCTTTAATTCATATGCAGAGAACGAAGTAACAACATGGAAGGGACGCTGTAATGCCTAAAATGGAATTTGGTGGACTGGCTTGGTGGGATATCACTTCTCAACACTTTAAGAGGACAGCTCTCCTCCTTAGCAAGATGAGTTTGATGCTAGACTTGTTTTCTATGTGGTGGATTGAAGTTTATTTTCTTTCCTTTTAAATTTATTTATTTTACATCCTGCGAACAGTTTCTGCTCCTTCCTCTCCTCTCAGTTCCCTCCAACCAGCTCTCCTCTGTGCCCTCTCCCCATCTATTCTTCTTCAGTTTCTATTCAGAAGAGGGCAGGGCTTCTATGGAAACTAATAAAACATAGTACATCAAGTTGCAGTAAGACTAAGCACCTGCCCCAGTAATAAGGCTGGGCAAAGCAACTCAGTATGAGGAATAGGGTCCCAAAAGTCAGTGAAAGAGAGACAGCCCCTGCTCCCACTGTTAGAAGTCCCACAAGAAGACTAAGCTACACAACTGTCATATATATACAGAGGGCCTAGGTCCGTCCCATGCAGGCTCCATGGTTGTCTGTTCAATCTTTGTGAGCCTCTGTGAGCCCCTGTGAGCCCAGGTTGGTTGATGTTGTGGCTATTCATGTAATGTCCTTGATCCCTCTGACTTGACAATCCTCATTCCTCTCTTCAGCAGGACTCCCAGAGCCCAGCCTGATGTCTGCATCTGTTTATCAGTTGCTAGCGAAAGCCTCTCTGATGACAATTGAGCTAGGAACCAGTCTATGAGTATAGCAGCATATCACTACGCACCATTACATTTTTTTCTCCTGTTCTGTTTGGTTCTGTCCTCCGTCTTTGGGTTATCCAGCCTCTGGGCCCTGGCACTCCAGGCAGTGTCCAGGGTGGGCTCCCTCTAGTGGCATGGGTCTCAGACTGGAACAGTCATTGGTTGGCCACTTCCACATCTATGTGCCAGCCTTACACATCCTATAGGCAGGACAGACTACGTCGAAGGTTATGTGGCTGGGTTGGTGTCCCAATCCCTCTACTGGAAGTCTTGCCTGGTCACGGGCAATGGTCAGTTCAGTCTATGCATCCTCTATTGCTAGGAGTCTTGGCTGGGGCCATCCTTGTAGATACCTGGGAGTTTCCCTCCCGCCAGATTTCTGCCTGACCCTGAAATGCATCTTCTTTCTGGGCATCTCTTTCAGTACTCTCTCCCCACCCCTGCCTGATCACTCAGATTCTAATCCATGCACAAGACCTATTCTATTTTCCCTTCCTACGGAGATCAAGCAGCACCCTTGAACCCTCCTTGCTACTGAGTAGATAGCATGTTTGTCTTTTTGGGTCTAGGTTACCTCAGGATGATTTTTTTTTCTAGTTCTATCCATTTGCTTTCAAATTTCCTGTTGTCCCTGTTTTTAATAGCTTTATTGTGTAAATGTACCACATTTTCTTTATCTAGTCTTCAGTTGAGGTACATCTAGGTTGTTTGTTCTGGCTATTATGAATAAAACTCTATGAATGTAGTTGAGCAAGTGCCCTTGTGGTATGATTGAGCATCCTTTGCCTATATGTCTAAGAGTCTATTCTATTTTCAATGGCAATCCCTTCTCCTCCACTAGGTAGTTGCTGCTGTTGTGCATACACACTCACAAATGTGTGTCTCTGTGTGTGTCTCTCTGTGTGTGTCTCTCTCTCTGTGTGTAGGCTAGTTGTAGATGATGTGGAATCATAGTCAGTTCTAGAGAGAATATTTGTCACATTAGATGATGTTTGAAACTCTTATTCTAGGATCAATTCTAGATCAATATCATCTGGATAAGTGTTAAGTTTATGGCGGTGGTGCACACCTTTAATCCCAGCACTCGGGAGGCAGAGGCAGGCGGATCTCTGTGAGTTCGAGACCAGCCTGGGTCTACAAGAACTAGTTCCAGGACAGGTTCCAAAGCCACAGAGAAACCCTGTCTTGAAAAACCAAAAAAAAAAAAAAAACTTTATATTCATATTTATTAAGCTCACTTACCTTTCTCTCCAATCATTTTGTTGTTATTGTTTCGAGAAAGGGTTCCTCTGTCTAACAGCCCTGGTTGTCCAGGAACTTGGCTTTGTATACCAGACTGACCTTGAACTCACAGATCTCTGACTGTCTCTGCTCCCAAGTGCTGGGATTCACAGTATGCCCCACCATGCCTGACTCTCTCCAGTCATTTTTAAAGTAGTACAGAAACCACTAAAATGTCCTATTCTCCCTTAGATTACGTTTACAACTATCAATTCTCTGCTTTTTTCTCTTTGCTCTGTTTAGGCCTAAGTTATTATCGATGGAGCCCTTTGGATTAAATAGGTACAGCGCGAGTGACTTCTGTGGTGGCACTCAAGTAATAGGACAGGAGTCATCGGTCTCCTCCCAAACTAAATCACATGAGCCTAATTTTAGCATTTCTCACAAGGTAAGAGGAGTCTTTCCATTATTTCATGGCTAATGGCAATTTGTTAAGATTTCACCTAAGGAACTATTTAAAGTTGAATTCTGTTTGTTCAGCATGCTTGCATTTTATAATAGATCTTTCAGGCTTGGACACTTGTTTCTGTCACAGACAGTACACTTGGCTAAATGTCCAGAAACATGAGTATGTTGCGCTCTGTAAGGCTCCTTACATTTTTCTTGTGAGTACGAAATTGTTTTCAGCAGAGCTTATGATAAGGAGAAATAGTTTCCTTAGACAGCCAACACTATGTCTCTGATTTCTTGACATCCATAGAAAAGCAACCAAGAACCTACATATGGCATTTGAGAATAATAGATGAAGGGCAATAGATCAGCAAAGTTTAAAAATTTCAGGGATTTGTTCCTTCTTAGTATGTTCCCCTAGGTAATACCTTCAGATAAGTATCTAAGTGTAATGTCAGAGATGGTATTTAAAGAGAGATGAGATTCTTCCTACTGCTTCATGTTGAACACCTGAGGTTTCTGGAAACGGTGCTGGGTGAGCTTTCTATGAAAGTGATTTTAAGTGCTTTCTTCTTAACCCACAGGACCAACTGTCTGTGAACCTCTGGATCAATGGTCCCTGTGTGAAGAATTCTTTTGTTCCCTGAGATCCAGAAGCAAGTGGTGCAATACAAGCCTGGGACCCTGTTTCAGCCACACCACTGTTTTGTCTGTTTCAAGACCAGTAGCAACATTTGTGAAACTGTTTAAACGTCTGTTGGGACTTGGGAGACCATAGCTCTGTAATGTCATGTTTAAATGTTTTACTGGGTTAATTCTAAGGGCACTTGTCACCAGAACTTTCCGTCTGAAGGCCGAAGTTCTAATAAAGCTGTTTCTGTGCAGGAGCTTACTCATAAATCAGGCTGCATGGGGGCTTCTTCTCCCACATAAAAATCTGAAACACTCACGAGTGTGTCTCAGCTTGAATTTGGGCTTGAAGGGGTGTTCTAATTCGTCTGTGAACTTAAATCATCTGGTATATTGTAAAGATAGTTTCATAGTAATATGGAAGTCTATGCTTTTGAGTACACATTATTAAGGGTGCTGGGCCAAACTCATTCTAATTGGCCCAAATCACATGAAAATGAGAAGAACTAACAACGTGAAAGAAAGCACACCAACTGTTGCTTCAAAGCTCAGACCCGAGATCTCTCCAGATTCCTACAGCACAACAAATGGGTCCATGTAACTGCCAGTGGGATGCCTCTACAAGTTTCACGCAGATTCTGGACAATTGAAAACAGAATTTTTTAAAGTTATTCTTTGAGTTATTTCCTATTTTTGTGTAGAGACCAGAGCAACTAATGAATGAAAACATTTAATTTGTGGGGTACCGTATCATGCTTGTAGAGCATAGTTGGGTCCATGGCCATCATGGTGGGGAGCAGGACAGCAGGCAGGTAGGCAAGGCACCGAGCAGTAGCTGAGAGCTCACATCTAATCCACAAGCATGACACAGAGGGACAATTGAAATGGTTTGGACTTCTGAAACCTAAAAGCCCACTTCCTGGTGACATACCTTTACCAACAAGGCTATATCACCTTACCCTTCCCTAGAAGTTCCACCAACTAGATCAAGGATTCAAACATGAGGCTATGGACAGTCATTTTTTTTATTGATTTTTATTGAGCTCTCCATTTTTCTCTGCTCTCCTCCCTGCCTCTCTCCTCCCCTTTAACCCTCCTCCAAGGTCACCATGCTCCCAATTTACTCAGGAGATCTTGTCTTTTTCTACTTCTCATGTAGACTAGATCTATGTATGTCTCTCTTAGTGCCCTTATTGTCTAGGTTCTCTGGAATTGTGATTTGTGGGCCGGTTTTCTTTGCTTTATGTTTAAAAACCACTTATGAGTGAGTACATGTAATACTTGTCTGTGTCTGGGTTACCTCACTTAAAATGTTTTCTAGCTCTATTTTCCTGCAAAATTCAAGATGCTGTTATTTTTTTCTGCTGTGTAGTACTCCATTGTGTAAATGTACCACATTTTTATCCATTCTTCAGTAGAGGGGCATTTAGGTTGTTTCCAGGTTCTGGCTATGACAAACAAAGCTGCCATGAACATAGTTGAGCACATTGGACAGTCGTTTTTATTCAGACCACCACACTCGGCAAATCCAAGTCAGTAAATATGAATGCTCATTTGTTTTCCTGTGAGACTGTGTCTTACCATGTAATTCTGGCTGTCTTGGAATTCACCATGTAGACCAGGCTAGCCCTGACCTCAGGATCCTCCTACCTCTGCATCTTGAATGTTGGGAATAAAGGCGTGCACTCACTAGCTTTCATGCACACTCACTTCTCAGAGTTTGTGCAATTCTTTCTGGAAGGCTACCGTGTGGGAAGAGTGTTCTCTACTCTGCACCATCGGTAGCTCACCGCTTTCTTACATGGGAGACCACACACTGACCTCACTTCAGTCAAGCCTTAACTAACACAATTTATGAGTTCCATACTGGCAAATCCATAAACTGAGTCCCAGTCTTCGCAGTAGTGCCAGACACAATTATTTTCTATTGGAAAAATATAAGAACCCCCCACTCCCATAACACACTACCCTTCCTTAGTGGCTTCTATCTTCAGGAGATCCATCCTGATTGAGACTTTATCTTCTGGGGTTAAGGGTTAGCCCCTAGGTGGCTAATCCTATGTCTCTATAGTGAGCACCCCTTTTGGTGAGCTCATCCATACTAGCTACTCAGATTGGCATCTCTATGCTGATAAACTTAAGTTGTATTTTATCTTGGGCTCTACCTACTAGGCCCTGTCTTAAAATACTCATTTAAATGCACATTTTCCTGTACAAATCCATTAGATTATTGAATAGAAGGTTGGTCAAGTACATGCTACAAGCCATTGCACACAGCTTGCCACTGAGAGAATGTTATTTGTTGATGTGCTTCTGCAATGCCTTCTGCATGCATTTCCAAGATTGTACTTAAGGGCTGATGCTTAAATACTTTTTTTTGCCATTTTTTTTTTAAAAACTTATTAGTTTTTTAAAATACCAATCCAAATTCTTATTCTTTCCCCTTCTTCCATTCCCTCCACATACCCTCCCACCCTACCCCACCCCCATTTAATCCTAAGAGAGGGTAAGGCACATTGCTTTGTGGAAGGTCCAAGGCCCTCCCTACTATATCTAGGCTGAGCAAGGTATACATCCAAAGAGAATAGGATCCCAAAAAGTCAGTACATGCAGTAGAGATAAATCCTGGTGCCACTGCCAGTGGCCCCTCAGTCTGCCCCAGCCATGCAACTGTCAACTACTTTCAGAGGGACTAGTTTGGTCCTATGCTTGTTCCTTCCCAGTCCAGCTGGAGTTGGTGAGCTCCCATTAGCTCAGGTAGACTGTTTCAGTGGATGAACCCTTCATGGTCTTGACCTCTTTGCTCATATTCTCATCCCTTCCACTCTTCAACTGGACCTTGGGAGCTCAGTCCAGTGCTGCAATGTGGGTCTGCCTGTTTCCACCTGTTGTTGGACAAAGGTTCTATGGTGATATTTAAGATAATCACCAGTCTGACTACAGGGCAAGTCAAGATCAGACTCCCTCTCTATTGCTTAGGGTCTTAGACAGGGTCACCCTTGTGGATTCCTGGTAATTTCTCTAGAGCCAGGATTCTGCTAACCCAATAATGTCTCCCTCAATCAAGATATCTCTTTTCTTGCTCTTATCTCTGTCCTTCCTCCATCTCGACTATTCCATTCCCTCAAGTTCTCCTCAACCCTCCCCTTCTCCCCTCCTCTTCTCCTTCTATTCTTCCTTTCCCCCCACCCCCATGCTTCCAATTTTGCCAGGCGATCTTTTCTGTTTCCAATTTCCAGGTGGGTCTATATATGATTTTCTTTGGGTTCATCTTATTACGTAGCTTCTCTAGGATCATGAACTATAGGCTCAATGTCCTTTGTTTATAGCTAGTATTAACTTATGAGTGAGTACATACCATATTCATCTTTTTGGGTCTGGGTTACCTCACTCAGGATAGTATTTTCTAATTCCATCCATTTGCATGCAAAATTCAAGAACAATGACATCTTGAATTTTTTTAAAATACTTTTTACTACTTCAGGTCTTAAGCCAGCTTTCTGTCTTTACAAGAGGATTACAGGCATAAAGACTACAAGGATGGCCTCAAACGGTGTGGAATGCTGCCAGAGGTACTCAGTAGGCAGCAGTGTATGCACACATCTGTACTTGCTTCAGTAGAGGAGAGATCATAGTATTCAATTCGAGTCTGTGAAGCCCCAGACTTCCAAGGACCACATATCGATTTTAATTGCTTAAATCAAGCCAGGCATGGTGGTCAACACCTGCAACCTCAGCACCAGGGAGGTGGAGGCGGGAGGGTCAGAAGCTCAAGGCTAGCTTGGGATACATGAGGTCCTGTTTCCAAACTCCTGAAAAGTGCTTAAAAATTTACTCCTGACTCTTCCCCCTAATTTTTCTCAGGCCTACCCCTCTCTCGGTGCCCCTCTCCAACTTTCTGACCTCTTTTTGTTATACCCCACTGAGTTTAATTTGTTCTGTACAGGGATGGGACTGTCCACTGCCCATGATCAACCAGGCAGGCCTCTTTGAACTTTCAGGTGTAAATAATCAGGAGAACCTGACCTTTTAAGTACTTAACACATTTGATGACAGCCCCTCACGCCTGAAGGCTACCTAAACAAGTAGAAAAATCAAGGCAGCTGAGCTTGGGCTGCCAGGCAAAATCACTTAAAGCAGCCACGACTTGCCCTTTGTTTCTTGAGTGGTGCTGAGCTGGAGGTCTATCCAAATGAAAGTCTCGGTGACTTTGGAGTTCTTAGTTCTCTCTGCTGTCTTGGTCTGGCCTTGTGCTTGGAACATTGACATCAATGGTAAATGAGCATTTGGATACTTCGTTAGGAGGATGCTTTCTTGAGAGACTGGGGTGAAACGGTGGCTTTCTGCTTCCTCTCCTCCCTACAGAGCCGGGATGCTCTGGAATACAAACGCTTTTAGGCCAAGTAGACTTGTGAATCCACATTTTCCTCTTTCTGCTGAACGTTTTAGTTCTCAGACATCCCCCTTTCCTATGCTTTGGGGTTTTCTCTGTCATGCTTCTCATTTACACAAATACTCCATGGCTCTGAGTCTCAGACAGTCTTTTCAAACTTACTGGCGGCTATCTGTGCTTGACAGTATTATAGGATTGAAATTAATCATATTGTATCTCTGAAACTGACCTCCCTACTTTCGGAATCTTCCTATTTTCACTTGATGATGACATTGCTTTTTATTCTTTTAAAAGTACTGCACTGGCTGGTTGGGGTGATAGAAGTCTACAAGCCTAGCAAGTGGGAAGGGGAAGCTGGAGGATCAGGAGTTCAAGGCCATCTTTGGCTGCCTAGCGATTTCAAGGCTAGCCTGGGCTGCAGAAACGTAGACACAAAACTACTGCTCTGATGGTCCTAGGAAGCCAGAAGATAAAGACAAATCAATTTTGTCCTGTTTACAAGTTTATTTTGATATCTATCTCCCCTTTCATCTGGAATCAAGACGTTTCTTAGCTTTAAGACCTGGCTAACTGCTAGCTTTTCTAAGGTAGAATTCTTGTGTTATTATTTACGAAGCTGACTTCCTGTTGCCCTC